TGGCTGGCCCCTGTGTGAGACGGGAGGCTGGACTAGATGGACCCTCCCTGGTCTGATCCAGCAGGGCTCTTCTGACGTTCTTCTCAGGGGAAGGCCTCGGCCTCTCTGCCCTGTTGCTGGCCCTTTTGAGGAACTGGTTGGTCACTGTGTGAGATGGGATGCTGGACTGGATGGACCCTCACTGGTCTGACCCAGCAGGGCTCTTCTGAGGTTCTTCTCAGGGGAAGGCCTCGGCCTCTCTGCCCTGTTGCTGGCCCTCCAGAGGAACCGGCTGGCCACTGTGTGAGGCAGGAGGCTGGGCTACGTGGACCACTTCTCTAATCCAGCAGGGCTCTTCTGATGTTCTTCTCCATGAAAACACAAATGTGTGTGTGTGTGTTATTACAGCTTAGTTTCCTGTCACTCAGAATGTCGATTGCTGGGGTCCCTGTTTATTTCCTCCTCTACAGGAACAGCAAGCTTCTTCTTTTTGTAGTTGAAGTTGTGTCCAGAAGCACCTTAAAGACCAGTGAGATTTTGGAGGCTATAAGCTTCTGGGAGTCCAAGCTTCCTTCCTCAGACAACTCTTGAATTGGGCTGTTCTGTAGCAGGCCAACCCAGCTACCCTCTGAAACCACATTTAAAAAAAATTAATCTTAAATCTTATTTACTTGGATCATATAGGTAAGAAGTATATTGTAGGGCTGTCTTTCGGCTGTGCTCCTGCAGAGCGCAGGGGGTTGGACTAGATGACCTGTAAGGTCCCTTCCAACTCTGAACAATGCATGATTCTATAAGTTCAAGTCTGTGCTGACTTCTCTTTCTAAGAATAGCCAGCACAAGTCTGATCTTAGTTTTCAGCGTTAGTTAGGTGGAGATTGGCTACTTTCCCTTGTCGTGATTCTGTTTCATCGCTTTCTGTAGCCACATTCGGAAGTCAGTTTTAAGCACAGCTGAAGTCAATAGAACTAATTACGGAGTAAAAGCAGCTGGAGTGTTTTATGGTTCTGTTGTTCTTACAGCCCAATCTGATGGTGTACTTGCTGCAAAGAAAGCCCTGCAGAATCCACTGCCATCTACTATCAAGTAAATCCACCCAGGAGTATAGCAGACCTGTGTTCATCCTCACCATAGTCTTGTGTGAGTAGATTTTATTGTGCATATATTAATATACGTGTTCATCTATTAAAACTGGCTTACAGATGGGGAACTGAGGCTGTGTGCATAGTCTGTGGCCAACGTGGGCTTTAACGTGGTTTTCTCCATCTCTAAGTATTTTTGCGCCCCAATGTGATGGTCTTCAACCTCTCCAGACCAGCTGGCACCCAACTCAAAGGGAAGAAAAGCCAGAAATGCAATAAATCTTCAAACCTGGGACCTACTGACCATGTGACTTCCTGTCACATCATGGTGGTGTGAAAGAAAGACGAACCGCTACACCAGGGGTGGCCAGACTTGCCTCATGTAAGAGCCCCACAGACTAAATGTCAGGTGCTCGAGAGCCGCAAGTGGACTTTGGAGGAAGAGGTGGGTTTGAGGGAGTGGCCTCAAAGAGACATCACAGGGTGGGGTTTCCGTGCAGGATGTGACATCATCGGAAGGGTTGGGGCTGAGGAAGTGACATCACCTGACTGTTGACCTGGACGTGACATCACAGGACATGACATCACAAAGTGATGTCACATAATTGCTAGGCGCCACCCCCAAAGTCTCCTGGCTTCACCACCTAAGTCCCCTGGTGGTCAAAACAGAAAAACAAAAGAGGTAAAAACAGATATTGCTAATGATATGGCCACTCTCTGACTCTGCCTGTGCCAAAAAGGGACCCCTCTGCTGATATGTGGTCTTGCCTCGTCTCAGCGTGTCTGCAAAGAGATGCAGGAGGCAAGCTGTCCTCCTTTTTTTTTTTTTTTTGAGGCTAATCAGAGATTTATCAAGTCCAAATTATCGGCCGTAGCAGGAATCACTGCTTGCGACTTCAGGTAGTCTAGGATTGGTGCCCAAGTATGAAACAGTCGTGATTTATAGGTGGTATGTGTTTCTCGTAAGATTTTATCAGTCAATTTAGCAATTATAAAGCAGTCCCATATCCTATTTTGCCAAGCTGAGATAGAGGGATCCCTACTATCCTTCCACTTAGCCGCGATTTCCATCTTTGCTAAGGCACGTAGAGTCAGGACTATCTGTTTGTTTGAAGATTGTAAAATAGATTCAAGTGTTTTATGAAGTAATAATGCTTCAGGTGTTTCCGGTAGATTGAGACCTGTTATATCTTGGATATATCGATCTCTGCACAGGCCCAGTAAGGGCGGGCAGCTCTGTAGGCGTAGAGGTGTCAAAGTCGTTTGTTATGAGGGCCGGATCGAATATAAATATCACTTTGTCAGGCTGGGCCACGTGCCGTAAAATGTAGAAGAAGAAGAGATTGGATTTATACCCCGCCCTTCACTACCCGAAGAAGTCTCAGAGCAGCTTACAAACTCCTTTCCCTTCCCCTCCCCAGAACAGACACCCTGTGAGGTAGGCGGGGCTGAGAGAGCTCTGACGGAAACTGCTCTTTTTCAAGGACAGCTCTGACAGAACTATGGCTTGCCCAAGGTCATCCAGCCAGGTGCAAGTGGAGGAGTGGGGAATCAAACCCAGTTCTCCCAGGTTAGAGTCCACCCACTTAACCACTACACCAAACTGGCTCTCTGTAACGCCAGGTACCGCAGATATGAACTTTATAAAGGACACAGGCAAACCCAATTAACAATGGCCCCGTTCACATGCGGGATAGCCACGAATCCTGGGCGGATTTTCAGGGCGCGGTCACACCGCAACATCTGGCAAGCGTTGTGCACCCATGGCCAACCCGTGGCGTGCTGCCGAAGCTGCGCAGTTAACAAGTATCTCAACAAATGTACTAGCAAATGGTTTGCCACAGGCTGCCGACGGAATCGGAAGACTCCACAGCTCAGAGAGAGCAATGCCAACATCTAAAGCCCGCTTTGTCCGATGCATGTTGGGTGTCCTGTCCTCTCAAGGCAGACATTTTGCTACAGAGAGAAAAAAAGATAATTTAAACAGAGGGACACCGGCCATGAAATGCAGGTAGCATTAGGTGAGATACAGTTATGTTAATTTCAGATATATTTGGGGGGGAGTACATTCACAATAGCAGTAATGGGCGATAACACAACATCCCTAGTTTTGCCAAGCCAGTTAGCACCTGTATTGGCTGAGAAAAGCTAGCAAACTTGTTCTTGAAAGCAGTGTTCCCTCTAAGCTGTGGAGTATTGTGAGCAAAAATTCTACTTTGTGAGCTACTGGCATTAAAATTGTGCCGTGCCGTGCTGCTCAGAGCTGGGGAATAAGCAGTGCCCCTGAGCAATGGTCCCTCTAAGCTGTGGAGTCTTGTGAGCAAAAATTCTACCTTGTGAGCTACTGGCATTAAAATTGTGAGCAAGTGATTTGGCTGCTGCATAAATTAGTTTGCTCTGAAGCCATCCCTTCTGAGCTAAGGCAAAAAATCTGTGAGTTGGAGGCTAAAAAGTTGTGAGCTAGCTCACACTAACTCAGCTTAGAGGGAACACTGCTTGAAAGGTGTTCGCTATCTTAGCAAAACTAGAGAACGTGGGTTATCGCCTGTCACTGCTGTCGTGAATGGACTCTGTACTTTTCTCGATTACGCTCTGACTGTACAAAGTGTATCTTCCCCTGAACTTCCTGCATTTTGAGGCCCTTCGACTCTGCTCTTTAACAGATTCCCCCCCCCAATTCATAACTTCCTATCCAGACACCTCCCTTGTGAGCCTGCCACGTGAGTAGCAAAATGAGTTCCCCAAAAGATTTTGCCAGAACCAAAACGCGGGCATCTTTGAGGTGCCGTGAGATGCCCGTTTAGTTTTCCCACAACAGACTAACACAGCTGTATGCAAAGTGCTGTCAAATCTCAGCTGACTCATGGTGTTTTCAAGGCAAGAGATGAACTGAGGTGGTTTCCCATGGCCTGCCTCTGCATAGCGACCCTGGACTTCCTTGGTGGTCTCCCATCCAAATTCTAACCAGGGCCAGGGGTCATTTCGTAGACAAAGAGGTGCAGGAGCTCATTAGCAGAACTCCTTAGCATAACTTATTTGCATGTGCCACACCCCCTGACGTCACCGGAAGTGTGTCAGAAGGCGACACCCACCGCTCAGGCTCCACTGGACTGTTTTGGATGGCTAGTTAAAAGGATCTCCAGTTAAAAGGTCCAGGCAGGAGGTGATGTGAAAGACCTACACCTGAGACCCTGGAGAGCTGTAATCAGGAGCTGTAGCTCAGTGGCAGAGCCTCTGCTTGGCATGCAGAAGGTCCTAGGTTCAATCCTCAGCATCTCCAGTTAAAAGGGCCAGGGAGTAGGTGATGGCGAAGACCTCCGCCTGAGACCGTGGAGAGCTATAAAGAGGGGCTGTGGCTCAGTGGCAGAGCATCTGCTTGGCATGCAGAAGGTCCCAGGTTCAATCCCTGGCATCTCCAGTTAAAAGGGCCAGGGAGTAGGTGATGGGAAAGACCTCTGCCTGAGACCCTGGAGAGCTATAAAGAGGGGCTGTGGCTCAGTGGTAGAGCATCTGGTCGGCACGCAGGAGGTCCCAGGTTCAATCCCCAGAAGCATCTCCAGTTAAAAAGGACCAGGCAGGAGATGATGGGAAAGACCTCCGCCTGAGACCCTGGAGAGCTGTAAAGAAGGGCTGTGGCTCAGTGGCAGAGCACCTGCTTGGCATGCAGAAGGTCCCAGGTGGTTCAATCCTCGGCATCTCCAGTGAAAAGGACCAGGTAGGAGGTGATGGGAAAGACCTCCACCTGAGACCCTGGAGAGCTGTAATCAGGAGCTGTAGCTCCGTGGCAGAGCCTCTGCTTGGCATGCAGAAGGTCGCAGGTTCAATCCTCAGCATCTCCAGTTAAAAGGGCCAGGCAGGAGGTGATGGGGAAGACCTCTGCCTGAGTCCCTGGAGAGCTATAAAGGGGGGCTGTCTTGGAAGGCAGGCCACCAAGGAAGACTCTGCAGCAGAAGGCACCGGCAAACCATCTCTGCATCTCGCTTGCCTTGAGAGCCCCTTGGTGGGGTCGCCATTCAGCCAGTTGCGACCTGATGGCTCTTGTGTTCGCACGAGAACCAGTGCTGTGGAACCACTGCTGCGACTCTTTGTCCTCCTCCTCTCTCGTCTATCGCTGGGTAAAATCAATGTCCCGCGTTATCAGGTAGGGGAGAACGAACAGCAGCAGGTACTGAGAAGGAGCAGGAAGTGGCAGGCACCCAAATGTATTATTTTGGGGGGTGGAGGTGTCTTAATAAAAAGTATTCCATGGCTTTTCTCTTTGGGCTAACATGACTACCTTCAAGCTCTGCTGACGCATCAAGATAATTAAAGAGATAAAGATCAGTCCAGCAGCTTCGTTTCCCACTCAGCGCATCTCACTTTGGGGCCCGCGATACTCAGTGCCGAAAATATTTATTCCAAGGTGTGTGACTCTGTTGAGTCATTCTTACACAGATGATCTCATCTGAATTTTGTAACCTTATTAATGATGAATAATAAAAGTCCTGTGTACAGGATTCTGACTAAGAGGGGGAATTAGACATGCCCCACAGTGGTGTAGTCACTGAGACCTCGAGCCAGAGATCCTGGAGTGCGAAGTCAAATGGGCCTTAGAAAGCATTACTAACAACAAAGCTAGCAGTATCGCAGCGGTATCGTAAAAGATGCTGCTGTTAAAGTGCCGCACTCCATTTGCCAGCAAATTTGGAAAATGCAACAGTGGCCACAGGATTGGAAAAGGTCAGTATACATTCCAATCTCAAAGAAGGGCAATGCCAAGGAATGTGTAAACTATCGCACAATTGCACTCCTTTCACATGCTAGCAAGGTCATGCTCAAGATCTAGGCTTCAGCAGTACGTAGATAGAGAACTGCCAGAAGTATAAGCTGGGTTTCGAAGAGGTAGAGGAACTAGAGATCAAATTGCCAACATTCGCTGAATTATGGAGAAAGCAAGAGAGTACCAGAAAAACATCTACTTCTGCTTCACTGACTATGCTAAAGCCTTTGATTGTGTGGATCACAACAAACTATGGCAGGTCCTTAAAGAGATGGGAGTACCAGACCACCTCACATGTCTCTTGAGAAACCTGTATAAGGGCCAAGAAGCAACAGTCAGAGCCGGATATGGAACAACTGATTGGTTCAGCATAGGAAAAGGAGTACGACAAGGATGTATATTGTCGCCTTGCTTATTTAATATATATGCAGAGTACATCATGCGAAATGCTGGCCTGGATGAATCACAAGCGGGAATTAAGATTGCTGGGGAAAAGATCAACAACCTCAGATATGCAGACGATACCACTCTAATGGCAGAAAGTGAAGAGGACCTAAAGAGCCTCTTGCTCAGAGTAAAAGAGGAGAGCGCAAAAGTGGGCTTGAAGCTCAACATCAAAAAAACTAAGATCATGGCATCCGGCCCCATCACTCCTTGGCAAATAGAAGGGGAAGTCGTGGAAGTAGTGACAGACTTCACGTTCCTGGGATCCCAGATCACCGCAGACTGTGACTGCAGCCATGAAATTAAAAGACGCCTGCTCCTTGGGAGGAAAGCGATGGCGAACCTAAACAGCATGATAAAAAGTAGAGACATCACCCTGCCAACAAAAATACGCATGGTCCAAGCAATGGTATTCCCAGTAGTCATGTATGGCTGCGAGAGCTGGACTATAAGGAAGGCCGAGCGCCGAAGAATAGATTCTTTTGAACTATGGTGCTGGAGAAGACTCTTGAGAGTCCCTTGGACTGCAAGAAGAACAAATCAGTCAATCCTCAAAGAAATCAACCCTGACTGTTCCCTGGAAGGCCAGATAATGAAACTGAAGCTCAAATACTTTGGCCACCAAATGAGAAGGGAGCACTCACTGGAGAAGACCCTGATGCTGGGAAAGATTGAAGGTCAAAGAAGACGGGGACGGCAAAGGATGAGATGGTTAGACAGTGTCAGTTTATCCGGCGAGTGGGCGACTCCTTCCAGTTTTTCTCCGGTACGTCTTCCGCGGCCTCCGCTGTTCTTTTGGCTCTCTGGCGACTCCTCTCGGGGGCTGTTGGTTACGGCCCTGGTGCGCAGCCGCGGTGGGCGTCACAACATCCTTGCGGCTCCGGCCGTCCTCCTGCTGGCCACGTCATCAGCTGCCGAGCCAATCGCCTCCTTGGGATGTTGCTGCCTCTCTTAATTTCCTCCGTGCTGACCGACGCCATGTTGCCGCCGCTTCTCGATTCCTCGCTCGGCTGGAGCCCAATTTCGAGGGAGGGGTACCCCCCTGTCCTCCTACGGACAGGTACCCATTTGAGTAACTGTACATCGCTTTGAGCCCACTGGGGAAAGCGATTAAATAAATGGAAAGTATTTTAAAAAATTCAAGGGCTGATAAATCTGACCTGACGCGTTTCGGCCTACATAGGCCTTCCTTAGAGGTCAGTAGTGAGTAGGGTTCCCAAATCTCGTCAAATCACGGCGGGGGATCGCATGTCTTTGCAGAATCCCTGCCCCGCCGTCGCCAGGACATGACGCTACGTGTTGCTCTGGCAGCGGGGCTGTTTCATTTTACATACCCCCGTATGTAAAATGAAACCGAGCTACAAAAAGCTGAGACAGACCCAAGGACGCTTGGATTCTCAGAAGTGATAAGAAGGCATTACACTTCAAAGCAATCTAGCAGAGCAAAAGTATTCTAGTTTCACACTCTCCCGCACCCTCTCCTAGGTTGCTATGGCGAGGGAGCTGTAAAATGCACAGTGAGTTTGACACAGGGTTAGCCCTGGACCAGGGGTCATTTCCTGTGGGAGTGCAGAGGAGCGGAGCTCCGGCAGTAAGGAGCCCGGGGGCGGGTACATGCAACAAGCCCCACCCCCTGCTCCCAGCAGCCCTCAATTGGGCCACGAGGAGAAAGAAGCAGCCAGGTAAGTTGCAGAGCCGCTCCCCCCCCCCAGCTCGCCTTCAGGTACAAGCTCTCTCTCCTCTGTGAGCTAGCAATCCAAAGCAGTCCAGTGGCACCTTTAAGACCACGTTTTATTCAGGTACAGGCTCTCCCTCCTCTGTGAGGGCAGATTTGCACGTTTCCCCTCCCACCCCATAGCTGGTTAAGACACTGAACTGCAGGCTGTGGAAGGTCAGTAGTTCAGCAGTTCGAGACCCGGGTGCCGCATGATGGAGTGAGCTCCCATCTCTAGTTCCAGCTCCTGCCAACCTAGCAGTTCGGAAGCAAGAAATTGCAAGTAGATAAATAGGTACCACTTCGGTGGGAAGGGAACAGCGTTCTGTGCGCCTTGGGGTTTAGTCATGCCGGCCACATGACTACGGAAATGTCTTCGGACAGCGCTGGCTCTTCGGCTTTGAAATGGAGATGAGCACCGGAACCCTAGAGTCGGACTCGACGAACTTTCGAGCAAGGGAACCTTTACCTTTAACAGTGTGTCTCAGGCCTAGATCTTAACGTTTTTGTTTACTCCTTTATGCTTTCTTTCCTAGGACCCATGTCTGCCGTTTGGCTTCAGGTCGGACAGTGTGGCAACCAGATCGGACAGGAATGGTGGCAAGCCATCACCCAGGCCAGAAGCAGAGATGCCGACCCGTAAGTCCCTGCCCTCCTCACCCACCCCTTCCTCGTTCACCTCCGCAGATTGAAGTCTGGGAAATCTTACCCGTGGCTGAGTCCCCGGGGCAGTTCGAGGCCTGCGTCTCAAAAAGGGATATGGAAGAGCTTGGGGGAGGGGGGGATGCAGAAAGGGCCAATCACAATAATTATGGGATCAAAGTGCATACCCTGCGAGGCATGGCCGAAGTGTCTGGGGCTTTCTAGATTAGAGGAAAGGCAGGTTGGTGTAACAACAATCAACACAAATCTACACGGGGTGGGGAAAGTGGCCAGAGAAGTGGGCTGTGGTGTCCTGCTTATTGGGGAGACGGTTTTACCTTTAAAACACTGTCTGTGTACCTAAACTTGGTAGATTTCTGCTGCCACCAGGAATTAAAAATTCCAAATCTCTCTCTCTCTGCTGGTAGAATGACCCAGGGTCTGGGCATTTCAGAGGACTATGTGGCCCTGAGGAAGGACTATTCTGATTGCTGCGATAAGCTTAAATAAAAAGGTATTTATTTAATAAAGAACAAAATAGGTTTCTGGTTATTTTGAACTGTTGCTGATGAAAGGAACTTGTAAATATAACTGGCAAAGCGGAGTCTCTTAGACTCCAAACTCCACTCTGACAGGTGTAGACAGTCTAATCTCTCTCTCTCTCTCTCTCTCTCTCTCTCTCTCTCATCTATATATAGCCACACAGGCTGAACTCTTTGTCTTATTCACGCAGAATAGACTCAAAACTCATTCACACAGACTAAACTGTTTGTCTTATTCACACAGAATAGACTCAAAAACTCCCATAGTCACACAGACTGTGTTCTCTCTCCCAACTTCACACACATAGGATCTCCTCATAGACAGCCCTCCTCCCACACTCTCAGTCATCAGCCAGTCACATCACACTTGTCTCCCTCTATCACTCTTCTTGCAGTACTGCAGTCAAACTAAACATTTAAAGAAACACACATCCCAAAACATGAAATCATTACGTGGGCTCTTTCACACATGCTAAATGCAGTTTCAGTCCACTTCAGCGGCCGATTGCAAGTGAATTTTGCCATTTCACTCAGTAAAATCCAGCTGCAAAGTGCATTGAAAGCATGTTATTCAGCACGTGTGAAAGTGCCCCAAAAGACCTCTCTTATCTTTCCCATAATACTGGAATGCGTCTATGAAATGGATTGGCAACAGATCCGGGAAAGGCAAAAGTAAGGGACTCTGGGGCAAGGGATGCTCCGTATTCTTGGCATTGGGGGGGGGGCAACAGTAGAAGGGCTTCTAATGTCCTGGCCCCACTGGTGGACCTCCTGATGGCACCCAGTATTTCTGGCCACTGTGTGACACAGAGTGTTGGACTGGATGGGCCATTGGCCTGATCCAACATGGGATTTTCTTATGTTCTTACGTCTGGGGCAGTGATGCTCTGTACTCTTGGTGCTTGGGGGGGGGGCAACAGTGGGAGTGCTTCTGGTGTCCCGGCCCCACTGGTGGACCTCCTGAGGGCCCCTGGTGTTTTTGGCCACTGTGTGACACAGAGTGTTGGACTGGATGGGCCACTGGCCTGATGCAACACTGGTTTCTCTTATGTTCTTATAAGAGGGAATTAGATACACATATGGAGCAGAGATCCATCAGTGGCTTTTAGCCACAAGGTACAGATAGGAACTCTCGGTCCGGGGCAAGGGATGCTCTGTATTCTTGGTGCTTGGGGGTTGGGGGCAACAGTGGGGGGGCTTCTAGTGTCCTGGCCCCACTGCTGGACCTCCTGATGGCACCCGGTATTTCTGGCCACTGTGTGACACAGAGTGTTGGACTGGATGGGCCTTTGGCCTGATCCAACATTGGCGTCTCTTATGTTCTTATGTTAATCACTGCGTTGACAGAGTGGCTAGATGACTTGTGGAACTCATTGCAACAAGATTGTGGTTGACTGTATGGTTGCCAGCTCTGGCTTGGGGAATTCCTGGAGATTTGGCAACGGCGGAGCCTGGGGGAGGGCGGGGTTTGAGGGAGAGAGGGAGCTCAGCGGGGTATAAGACCATAGAGTTCATCCTCCAGAGCAGCCATGTCCTCCAGGGAGAACTGATCTCGGTCGTCTGGAGATCAGGTGTAATTCCTGGAGAGGTGTACGGAAGAGAGAACTCTTTTTGGCTACTAGCCACGAGAGTAGGATTTATTT